ACGTATGCTTATTATTTACGCGAAATATAGTATTTGCGCGTTTGCTGGCATATATTATTGTGAAGCTCTGGAAATAAATGTCGAGCACCCAGTAGCATCCGTTCACACTCAAAATGGACTGGCGGAATCTTTGATTAAACGCGTCCAAATAATTGCTCGTACATTGCTGATGAGATATAAACTCACTAGTACAGCATGGGGCCATGCAGTATTGCATGCATCAACACTGATTAAATTACGCCCAACTGCTTATCATATGCATTCCCCAATGCAATTGGCATTAGGCTTTGAGCCCGATATTTCGCACATTCGCACATTTGGTTGCGCTGTGCAAGTGCCAATTCCTCCTCCTCAGAGGACTAAAATGGGTCCCCAACGCCGACTTGGCATATACGTTGGGTTTGATTCACTGTCAATTATTAGGTTCTTGGAATGACGGGTGATTTATTTACCGCTAGATTTGCGGATTATCATTTTGATGAGACATTATTTATACCGATTGGTAAGGATATTCAGAATATCCGTGATAATGATAAATAAAAACCCAATCGAGAATCTCACGTGGTGTGAGCAACATTTATCTCATCTCGACCCACGTACCTCTGAATGTGAAAATGAGATCCATAGAATCATTCATTTACAAAATATTGCCAATAGACTTCCTGATGCATTTAATGATGCGAGTAAAGTTACAAAGTCTTATATTCCAGGTGTGAATGTTCCAGTTAGGATCGCTGTTCCTGAAGAACATGCGAAAATGAATGATGATCCCCCACGACAAAAACGGGGTAGACCAATTGGATCAAAGGACGTTGTTCCTAGAAAAAAGAAAGGGGAAAATCAATGAACCCTCAAATGAGGTGGTTCCTAGTGAGAATGCTCCAGATAAATCTGTTGAGCCTGATATCGAAAAAGTTATATCAGATCACGATAATACCGAGAATCCCATAAGTTATTTCAGTGAAATATGGGATATAAATGAGATGATCATAAATAATATATTTACATTCTTAATTGATTAATAGATTGTATACGATGATTATTACAGTGAATAATGACTCACAGTTTTGTAATGTTGCAGGTACGTCTTGTTGATTTACCAAACAAGCATGCCCACTAACATGATAATGTTGATTATATAGCACAGATACATAAAAGGCGATTGAACCAAGTCCTTCCAGGCTTCTACATTTGAGAAATTGGTATATGGCATTGGAATGAGAAGAGCCAATGTGAAGCAAGATTGACGAACCATTTCGAAGGCTATATTGCTCATTTCAGAGGGAGCAATGGTGCGCTGCACTCTTTTTCCCTTATGACTGGTTTTGTCCCATTGGGTTTTCCAGCAAAGGTTTTTAACGAGGCAGCTTATGCACACGGCTTGGATTGAGTTATGCCCTCTTTTTCCCTTCTGACCGGTTTTGTCTCATTGAGTTTTCCGGCTTAAGGTTTTTAACGAGGCATACATTTTCCTCATCCGATTTGCAGCCGAGATAATAATACTTCGTCCAAGGAGGAGTATTATAATAATAGATTTTGGATATATCTATTCTAAATATGGACTCAGCATCATTATCCTACAAGCTAATCAGTATACTTATCCTTTGTAAATACGTGTCCGTGCATGGGTTGATTTCTAGCTATCTCATTAGATGATGACAATGCATTGTAAAATTTGTGTATAAATACATGACTCTATAAATGAAATAAATAGAAGCTTTCAGCTTCAATAAAAATTTCTCTCTCTCTCTCATTTATATTATGTTCTCGTATATTCTATTATTCTATAACATATATGTTATTTTTATTTATTTCTTTTTTGAATGTGAAGACTTATTTTATGTTAGGCGGATTTAATAATTATCCATTAGGTTTTGATATATTAGGAATTATATTTTTGAAAAACATTTGACCCACAAATCATTATACACAACGACAACTTGAATTTATACTTGGTTGTTTCTTGTAGATCTGCATATAATCACACATATTAATGTACACGTATGTTTAGTGGATACTTAATTGTTTAACTCTGTTAATTATTAAAAATTATTCAATGTAAAATAACTTGATATATCATCCAACTCTCTGTTCAAACCCCTAATGCAAAAAGTATATTTTTGTGAAATTTGCATAATTATCAATGAATATTTTTTACTTGACAAATTAATTGATTCAATATGTTTGTCTAAATGGGGAAAAAGCATCTAAGAAGTCTCCTCAAGCCCAATATTTTCTTATCAATGAACCAAACAAAATTAAATGCTAAAGGGGAGCAAGTAATAGTGGGAGTGGTTTTAGAATTTGAAAAGCGATGTTAATTTGCAATTATAAATAGGCTCATGGCTAACCATTATATATATTCATGACTCAAACTTAGCCTATTTAATATTGATAGTATTTTGATGACGCAAGCGTGATGTCAGCTCAGATCTCCTTCCGCTGGGAAAGTTTTCCCAACGTAAAAGCTCCGATGATCAAGTCAAAATTTGTATTTATATATATGCATATTGTGGATTCTAGTAAAAAAACATTATAGAGTAAAAATATGAGTCAACTCCCTATTTATAGATGTCTCTCTTGCTTGAAATGTAAGATTCATTAGATTATTTAACCTAATTACCTTCTTATTTGGACATGCTGCATTAATGAAATTTTAGGTTAAATGAACTTGGCTCGTCCAAAACCCCAATTTGAGGTCACGATGTAAAGCCTATGGCCTCACCTCACGTCGTTGTACGGGGTAAAGGTAGAGAAAGTATTTTTTTTTCCTTTTTAAGGTTTCGTGCATATTTGATGGAACTGGACTGCTAATTTGGGTCGCCCTTTTTGGGCTTTATAGTCAACTTATTTTGTTTATGTAGAGTGGGGCTCAGGGCAACATGGTCCGTATCAAATACAAAGTGTTCAACTCGATGATTAGCGAAATCGAAATCGAAGCCAGTCTTTGTATAATGTGCCATATGTGAAACTACTAATTAATTAATATTTGAGTGTATTTTCTGATTAGTGCTCAATTATATGAAAAACACGCTAGAGTATTATCTATATTCTCGACCAATTTAATTAAGATAAAGAGATAGGAGTAGTGTTTAAGATCATAATTAAATTTTGACAACTTAAAAATAGCCATTACATTATTTTAATCTTGAGGTAACGTAAATGTTGAGATAATCGAGTCCACAACTAACCAAAATATATTAATACAAAAATTATAAATGCTTCTAATTATGAAACATAAACTTTAATTATTACAAACAATGTCGGCTCTAGTGGCGGACTAGGAATATAGTTCATTCATCTGATTTAATTTTGAACACCGACCATGTGGAATTAATTTAATTTACTGAATTATTTTAAAATTCTTGTGCAATTTTCGACATTTAACACATAAAATGAGTGTAAATCTATGGAAATAAGATCTATCATAAAATGTTCATTGTAAAGGTAATAAACTAAGAAAAATAATCTAACTACTTTACTCAAATCATTATATGATTCGGGGAACTTGTTCAAGGGCAAAGAAAACATTTTGTTACAAGGGGAAAGTGATTAATATAGAAATACAATTAGGTGCATGGAGTTTGAGGGTCTATTCGCCTAAGTTTATTTTAAACAGCTGATAAGCTCTTATATATAATTAGCTGTTTAAGGTGGTGTTTGCAAAAGCTTTTAAAAATAGATTATACGCTTTTTTTATCACATAATTTGTTTTTATGTGTTTGCGAAACCATCTTTTGCTTTTACTTCTCTTAAAATAAGCTGCTTTAAGCTATAATTTTAAAAGCACCCATGTACCTGCTTTTTCTATTTTAGTTAATTTTCCAGATTTTTTGCTAACACCCCTAACTTTTAGAATTAATCACTTAATATCAACTTAACTCACAATCAATAACTTATGCTTTTAAATAAATTTTTGCAAACACCACCTAAGAGCTGATAAGTTGTTATGTCCTAATTTTAAAATTATTTTGTAAAGTGTTTGGATAATGGTCTTATAAACTATTTTTACTTATTATAAAATCTTAAATAAAAATGTGGACTAAAGCTACTTATATATATATATATATATATATATATATATAATTTATAAGATTTTTTTTTTAATTTTCATATATTACAAAACATTTTGGAAGATGTTGGTGGGCTTAATGTGGGCCGGTTCACTTGACAAATTATCACCTTATATATGCCAAAGAATGACCCATAAACTTTTGGAGTGAGGTTCAATTTCTCGGGTCACCAGTAGAATATTGTGTAGTCAATACCATGGTATAGCGCGATATGTATCGCAATACAATACAATTTCTGAATTCAGCACATTTAGGTGTAACTTGTGTGATTATTAACATGTTTAGGGGTGGTTTGTGCAAATTTCAGCACATTTAGGAATAATTTGTGCGATTTTCACATTTAGAGGTGATTTATGCGACTTTCAACATTTTTGGGGTAATTTGTTTGATTTTCAGCATATTTGAGGTGATTTGTGCAATTTTCAGCACATTTCGTTTATAACAATCGTGTTTGTTTGCTTGTTTAATAATGAAGGCAAAACCACACAAAAAAAAAAAAAAAAAATCTTCATATATAAGCAAATGTAATAAAACTGACACTAGCATTTTTAAAAACTATGATTTTTGTCCTAGTCAATAATTTAATGTTGAAATTTGAATTTAGATTTATTTTGAATGAATGGTTTGACATAGAAATATAAATATTTACATTTTTATCGTATTATTATGTGATATATATATATTACAACTATATATATGTACATCTCCACAATTTGTCCTCCTTAATTTATTTTCTCTTTTTTTTTTGCACTCCAGCCCTAGAAACGACGCCGTTTTATTTTCCCTAGCCAATCACATGCCAGATTTCTTTTCTTTTCCTTTTATTTTCAACCAGCTCGAACCTTTTCATCTTCTAAATACAATTTTTTTTTTGCTTTTTTTTTTTCTGTATTCTGTAATCCTCCTTACACGTGCCCTCTGTTCCTTCTTCCACCCAAAAAGGGGTTTCCCACTGCGTCTGGGCAAATTTCGGCCGCTAAATCTTCCCCCAGCCCACAAAATTGCCACCGCCCATCAGTATTTTCCGCTGCCGCCAACGCGTCTTGGCTCCGCGCACCTGCTTCTTCCGCTCTCAGAAAAGGTCTGGCTCCCACATATTTTTACGGGTTCATTGTTAAATTTAAAAATTTCAATGCTTTCATGTATGTACTACCTGAGAAGTGCCTCGACAAAGGGCCCAAAATACTGAAAAGGCAAGATTGATTGTTTTCTGGAACAATTATTTTTTGTCTTTAATTTTCTGCTAAGTCAGCATATTATATTTTCCAGACAAAATACCTGCATTGTGAGGTCTTGCCAGCAGTGAGCTGCCTGGTCTGGTCTTCATCCTTCTTGCTATTTAATTATTTGTTTATCAATGGATGTAAATAGGACAACTATTGAGATCTGGAATGTGGCAGCAGGTATTATCAACTTCAACTTAGAAAATTATGAAGATGACATGATATGTATTTCTTTTATTGGTAAGAGCAAGGTTGGTTTGGTGCTATTTATTTGTGGAAATAATATTTGATCCTGTCATTTTGTTTGTTGAAGGCGGCGCCGGAGATCGAGGTGAGAGGAGAAGTCGGCCCAGCCCGTAGGTGAAGATCGCCATCTCCCTTGTGAAAAACAATTTAATTAAATAAAATAAAATCTGAGCTCGTTTTTTCTGTAACGCCCCTCCGCCTATTTTCGTTCTCAATTCCGAGCAACGGCGGTACTGTATCAAGGTTAGTTCATATATTCATTGTTAATGAGTATCGAATTTTTGTTTTATCGTATTCTTTTAGCTCCTTTTGGAATTGAAAAAGGATAACACACGAAAATATTGGCAGTAGCCAATTTTGTCTGCAATCAATGCTAATTTCGCAAGATGTTTTCTTATTTTTAATCAAAGTTGGAATTTTTTTATTATAATTGTGGAATTGATCCCAAAAATTGTATGTGCATTAGGTTGGCTGTGTTTTTGGTGTTTATGATAATGGTGGTAGATGGAATTGCCAATTTAGGTTTGAAATATCACTTATCGATTTTGATGAAATTGCTAATTTAGGGTTGAAGTATCACTTTTCGATTTATTCTTTCTTTTTTTCCCAAGTAGTGAAATTGACTATAAAGAGGAAATCTATTTGTTCCATCCTTTTGAATGGAACATCAGTTAAAAAAGAAATATATTAAATAATGTATACCATCCAGTCATCATTTTCTATCTTATGTTTGGTTGGACTCCAAGCATAAAATATTGATTTTCTACAATCACAATATATATGTTGCTGCTCTAAACATTATTGCAAACTGGTTTTTGCTGCATGTTCGTGCAGTTTCACTCTTGCATGCGTCTTTCAGTTCTTCCTTGCTTGCATTTAATTAATCTGCAATGATTCGTTTATACATTTTACCAATGCTAACGAAATTGATATGTTTATGCAGCTTTTAATTTGACGTTAAGGGACGCATAATTAGCCGTCTATAAGGGTATGGCACCTAGGAAAAACAGGAACAAAATGAACAGGTTGTTTCTGGCAAGGCACTACTGAAGAATGGGAAAAAAAACTGCTGAATCTACTCTAGAAGAGGAAGTTTCCGACAGGAAACAGCGGAAGACTAAAAAGCTAGTGACGCAAAATAAACTGTTTCACCTCCTGTGGTTAAGAAGAAGCCTTGTACGTGGCTTAAGCTTGATAGGCTTGTCCCTCAAAC